AAATTTTACATTAAAAAATAGAAAAGTGGAAATCAATTTGGAATATTTTAAATGTGAACATGGAAGTTTGGGATTTAATTCACAACCAAATATGGGTTTGTCCCAGAGCATGGGGTTGTACAGGGAAAGGAAAACACATATATTCTCCACAAATTTTCCTGGAGACCTACGACTTTTCAAGGAGGAGGGAATAAAAGTGAAAAGTGAGGCATATACCCTGATCACATTTTCCTTTCAGAAGCACCAACTGCTACATACATGTACTCCCGGCAACCTTGATAGAGGAGGCTGGGTTCCTATAACCGGGGAGGCTTTGTTTGATTTCATTATATATTTTCCCCCTGAAAACCTGGCAAGGTGAGACTTTTTTAATTTAGTATTCACCAAAATTAAAACTCAGTTTGATTTGACAAGTTTTGGAGAGTTGAATGACTATACATACATGAGCGTGCAAAACCAAAATAAGGCATTGCCTCCATGAGAAACTAAATGGGAATCCCAAGAGTAGGACTAAAGTCTATGCATTTTCTTTTCACCATAACCTGATCCTGTCTAGAGGTTCTTAAATGAACATGTCCTGGTTCCTCGGGACTCAGCTGTTTTGCAAGAATCTTACATCATTAAGGTGAACTTAAACATTCTCATGTCCTTAGTGTTTCCCCAGAAGATAATGTTTTGGTTCTAGGTGACCATCAGTAAGCATTAAAAACATCAAGCTCAATCAAGCCCAATTTTCCAAAAGAATAATTTCTCTGTTGAAGTTGGGGGTGGGGGGATGTATTCCTATCGCTTCTATTTCTCTCTTTTTTTTGTTTTTCAAGGATATGTTGACCCTGGGGTACAAAACCAATCAGCACACAAAAACAGACCATGGAATTCTGAGAGACAGAGCTTTTTCTGGGAAAAGAGTACTACACTAGGCTAGCACTTAGTTTCTCCCCAACATTTGTCATTTCCAACTTTCATATTAAGAAAGTAATGCTTTGTTGGCATGTGCGGAAGGCTCTATCTACATAATGAAACAGTGTGAGTGACATGGAAAAAAATGTCCATTTCCTAGCATCTCCTTTCTGATCTCTATAGTTTTTCTTTGACCATGGAAAAGGGTGCTTCCAGGAGGCCTGGGAAAAGGTCAACCATAGTTTTCAGGGCCTTTAACGCCAATTTGCAATGAATCATGTTCTAGTGTGTATCTGTGATTGTGTGTGTGTTGGGGTGGGGGTAGGGTGTGACTGCATGTGTTAATTTGTTTTACTCTCTTTAAGGAAAGGGAGGGGCCCATTCTCTGTCCCAGGCCCTGGGACAGAGAATGATGTCAGCACTGACTTTGTGCTGAGATATTTTGCTTGAGGGATTCCAAATAAGCACAGATCAACAAATTACCGCTAGGTAAGGCTACGAGAGCTGGTTTGGATACTTCAGTAGTCACCTACTGCTCCTTCACTTGATTGGCACCCTCTTAGATCCTCCAAAGCCCTCTTTTGATTTTCGTATTCATCTGTATTCTCAGCTGCCAGTGGGCCGGAAAGTTCATGACATGCTCAGGCTGGTAGAAAATAAGAATGCCAGGTTTCTCTGGAGAGGCCTCCATTGTGCTGCTAAGAGCTCCACCCAGGACTGACATGAAAATCTCACAGAGGTAGTATTGCAGAGGTAGTGCTTCAAAGCCAGGATAGAAGATTAGACTCTGATTCCTGTTGGGAGAGCAAAATACAGTCTGTGATTGACAGGAATCAAATAACACAGCCTCAAACCACGGGGCAGAGCACAACACATGGTATGGGACAGGCATTTATATGAAATTAAAGCAGGAAGTAAGAGGAGAATTTTGTATTTCACCCCCAATACCCACATATATGCACAAAGAGATGCATGCACATGTGTGTGCACACACATACAAACATAAACATACTGACACACACAGACTCTAGCTGAGACATTAAGCAACACAGGGCCCACAGCAAACATACCCCTGGAATTGATCCACAGAGAAATTAGTCAAACATTCTGGGGGCAACTAGAGTACAAAAGGTCATTTCTTTGTAGAAACACCTGCAAAAGGACCATATTCTTCAGTTAAACCATGCCTATTCCCAGTTTTGCTTTGTTTTCCCTTCGTAGCACTGTTTCTAAATGCCCAAAGTAGCTGAATGCCTGTCTCTGAGGCTTGAAACTGTCATGGGCCACTAGAAACAAACCTAGTAAGCAGGAGGGATCTGGCTCAAATGCAGAAACCTGGAGTCAGGGCTGACCTAGCTCTGCTGGCTAGACAGATCCCTTCTACAGAAAGTGAGCAGGCCTCAGCTTTTTCACCTCCAAAACAGGGCCCTAATATGGGTCCCACCCATTTTACAGGGAAGAGAGAGAGCCAGGACAGCCCAAGGTGCTTCTGGAGATGAGTTCTCCACAAAAACATTGTTATTTTCCTCTACAGCATGGATTTGAGCTCCTTGCACAACTACCCTGGACCTCAATATTCCAATTTTTTTTAATTCCTGTCTATGAAGAGCCCCATCATAGATATCTTATTCTTTAGTATATCTTGTTCCAAGATATAAAATGACCAAGAAAGGTGATTTAAACAAAACAACCATAACCAAAACAACAAAACACCTTTATTGGTTCCTAAATCTTTATCTCCCCTGAAATGTTAGAATGACGTTGACTACATTAACTAATATAGTTTCAATTAAGTTTTCCATGTTGAGAGAGTTAAGATTGAGAGAATGAAATAATTGCCAACCAGGTGTGTTTTGTTTTTTAAATCCTCACCTGAGGATATGTTTATTGACTTTTTTAGAGTGAAGCAAGTGGGGGTGGGGAGAGAGAGAGACATCTGTAAGAGAGAAACAGCGATCAGTTGACTCCTAAACGTGCCCCGAATGGGGATCAAATCTGCAACACTTTGGTGTGCAGAAAAATGCTTCAGCCAACTGGGCAACCTGACCAAAGTGCCAACCAGTTTTTATAGGGCTTTATTTTTTAATAGGATTGCAATTTATTCTTCCCACTGGAGGTTTTATTCCTTTAAAACTAAAGTAAACAGTGAATTATCACAAAATCCATTGTCTCCTTTAAGTTTCCTTATCACAGCAAAATTCTGAGAACTTTCCACAGGTGGAAGACCCAGGCACAGTGCCCAGAGAAATTAAAATATGGTGCACTGACTGGCAGTTAGAGATAAAAGTTAAAGATAATGAGAATTTACAGGTGTGGGTTTTTATTCCCCAATCTAGTAAGAAGTACCATTTAAATGTTGTTAACCATAAGGGTGCTTCAGTGCTCAGAGGAATGGCAGGGAGCTGTTCCCAATTCTGGAATCTCAGAGTTGAAGTTGCAATGCACTTCTAACACACTTATCCCAAGGGAACAATCATTATCAAATTCAAAAACTCTTTGGACTCAGCTAACAGGACCTGGGGAGGAGGGATCCCTACTGAATGAAGGTCAGCATGGAGGACAGGGGGTAGCCCTGAGCACTCCACAGGCACAGGAATGGCAGCTGAAACCTTGTCAGATATTCAGGATGTGATTCTGGGCACTGTAACAGCCTCTCTCCTCTTCGGTGTGTTAAGGATACCCAGGAATGTTTCCCCTTAGCATTTATAATGCTGAGGAGAAGGAGAGATGTTAGAAGCCACCCCAAGATGAACACTAATGGAGAGTGACATGTGGAGATTCCAGTAAGACTAGATATAATGGTCTCATTTTCATGGTGTGTCAAATTAAATTTAGGCTTTGGCTCCTGTGCATGTCATGGCACTCTGTCTCTCATCCAGAGCCAACATTTCACAAAATTTAATGACTTTACACCTCCAGAGACAATGGCCAGTTGGGAGAAAGACCAGCAGGGCCTCTTTTCTCTCCTAGTCCCCACTTTTCCCTCCCTCCCTCTCCCTGAATCACAAGCTACATGGATGTTTGGCTATGCTCTGGCCATACCTGCCCATTTGCATGTCTCTTTGTGCAGTGTTGTGAACAGGGAAGGCTCATGATGCACTTCAGGATCCAGCGGTCATGGCGCAGGCATTCTGTGGGTTGGAAAAAGCTGGGAGTGACCTGGTTCTAGCCAGAGCCTCTGGGAGCTTCTTCACCATGGCCCCCTACATTCATGACATTGTGTTCCAGGAGGACAGACCCAATGTCGGGAGCTGGGAAAAAGCCTATGCCAGCAGACAGAGCATAAACCTCTCCACAGGGGAAGGAAATGCAATATATAACTGACAGGCCCAGTGTAATTATCTGCCATGTACAGAGGGTTATCCTGACAGCCAGACAAAGCTTGGCATGTAAATATTCAGCAAATAGTTATCGAGCACCTACTATACATATTTAGACTATAGATCCTTAGGGCTGATGCTCATATTCTTCCTCTAACACTCATTCTCCTCTTCCTTAGTCATGAAATGACCACCCAGCATAAAGACTACATTTCCCAGCTTACCTTGCAGCTAGTTGTGGCTATGTGACCAAGATCTAGCTAACAAAATGTGAGCAGAGAGGGCCCATGTGCACCTTCCAGAGAGGAAGCACATTTTTTTTCCCCTTTCTTCTGTCCTGCTGACTGGAATGCAGATGTGATGGCTAGAGACTGAGCAGCCTGAAACCTTCTGTTGAGGAAGGCAAAGCATGAGATAGGAAGACCCTGGGTCTCTGCAGACTTCATGAAGCCCTCAATTAGCCCTAGACTACTTTCCTTCAGATTTCTAATAAGTGAAAAGAAAATTAATTCCTACCTTGGTTAAACCTGTTCTCTAGGTTTTTCTGTCACTAACAGTCAAACCTAACCCTGTAGTCCTCAATAAATGTTTGTTGAGTAAACAGACTGACTTATTGAGTGACTGAATTAAAAAGGAGTGAATGCAGTTCTAGGTGTTCAGCACTTTGGCTAAGCCATACCCAGTAATGAGGCAGTAAATGAGATAGATATGGATCCTGCTCTCATGCACCTGAACTTTGTAAGATACTTTGAGCAAAAAAATAACAAGTGTGCTTTTTTCTTGGGTCCTCGCTTCCAAGATGACGAAGAAAAGAAGGAACAACGGTCGTGCCAAGAAAGGCCGCGGCCATGTGCAGCGCATTCGTTGCACCAACTGCGCCCAATGCGTGCCCAAGGACAAAGCCATTAAGAAGTTTGTCATTCGAAACATAGTAGAGGCTGCAGCCGCCAGGGACATTTCGGAAGTGAGTGTCTTCGACGCCTGTGTGCTCCCCAAGCTGTATGTGAAACTACATTACTGTGTGAGTTGTGCCATTCACAGCAAGGTAGTCAGGAATCGTTCTCGTGAAGCCCGGAAGGACCGAACACCTCCACCTCGATTCAGACCTGCGGGTGCTGCCCCACAACCTCCACCAAAGCCCATGTAAGGAGCTAAGTCTTTAAGGAGAGAAGAAAAGTTCTCTGGAAAAAATAAAATGGAAATTGTACTTTAAAAAAAATAAATAACAAGTGTATTGAACTTTATGAGAAGGATAGTGTGCCATGGTGATGTGTACCCTGGAACTCCAACACAATAAGCGGAGTGATGTCTCCAGGTGAATCCTTAACACTGAGCAACAGTTGGGAGGTGAAGTGCTGTCAGCCCTGAGATGAGAGGCAGCATGCTTGCACTTGAGGAACTAACAGGTCAATGGCTGCAACACTGGATTCAAGGAGAGCCTCAAGGCAGAAAACCAAAGGGGCAGGCAGAGGCTGGATCATCTAAACCATTGACGTTCTAAGAGTGGTCCATGGACCAGCAGCTCCGTCGTCCCCCAGGAGCTGTTGGGCATGCAGACTCTCAGTCTCCACCCAGACCACAGAGCCTGACCTGCATTTTAACAAAAGCCTCAGGAGACTGGTGTGCATAGGAGAATTGGAAAGGCACTATCATAGGGCACATTAGGGATTTGTGTTTTGTTTTGTTTCACTGTTACTTTTTATTGAGAAAATTTGGATGAAGCCCTTTAAGCACAGAAGGAACATAATCAGATTTTCATTTTTAAAAAGTTTTTCTGGCCCCAGTGAAGAGAATGCATTGGATACCTAAATGGATGCCCAAAAACTCAAATAATCTGTCAACAACAGCGGCCCAAGCTGTATGGCCGAGGTCAGTGAGTGCAGAGGGAGGAGGAGAGTTTGAAAGATAGGCCGGAAGAAAAACCAAGAGGTCTAGTGATTGATTGTGGGCTGGGTAAGGGAGATGCCAGCTTGCCCTGCTAACTGGATGTGGAACCATTCCCTTGGGGGAGCTCTGAGAGATGAATGAGGTCTGAGGGCCAGGGGTGGGTGTCAACTTGAAGTGACTATGAATAGCTCAGAGAAGATGTGCAGTAACCAGGTATACACAGGCATTTAGATCTCAGGGATTGTACTAGTCAGGGTTATCCAGAGAAACAGAAACAATAGAATATATATGTTTATTTTTAAAAATTGGCTCACCTATTTGTGAGGTCTTGGCAAGGCCAAAATATGATGGAGGAGGCCAGCAGCCTGGAGACTTAGGAAAGAATTGCAGTGCAAGTTCAAAGGTAGTTTGCCTATGAACCAGGAAGAGAGGATGTAACAGATTAAGTCCAGAGGAAATCTTCAGAATTTCCTCTTGTTCAGGCCAGATCAGCCTTCTATTCTACTCAGGCCTTCAATTGAGTGGATAAGGCCCACCTGCAAACAGAGGACAATCTGTTTTACTCAAAGTCCATCAATTTAAATGTAAATCTCATCTAAACACCCGCACAAAAAACAACTAAAATAATACTTGTCAAAATATCTGGGCACAGTGGCCAAGTTAAAATATAAAATAAACCATCACAGAAATGAAAACTAGGAAGTCATTGGCATGTAGGTGGGTGACTATGAAAACATTGCCAGTAAGCTGCATTGCCCAGAGAGAGAAAACAAAGGGAGAGAGCCCTGAGGAGCATCACTATTTAGTGATCAGGTAGAGGAGACAGCAGGTAGCTGGCAAGAGACTGCAAAGGTACTTGGCTAAGTCCTCAGGGACCAGCTTTCAAGGAGAGCCATGTGCAGATAGCAGGGTCGCCCAGGAGCCAGATGGGGCCTCTGTCTCCCATCAAGTAAGTTACCAGAGCTGGAGAAAATCAGAGTAGCTCTGGTATTCAGGAGACTTATTGCCAACCAGAGAATTAGCCTCAAGCTCCTGGCCAAGATAGCTTCTGGATGAGTTGTCCTTGGGGATGTGATAGGCCAGAGGTTCAGAAGGCTTCCCTGAAAGCCACGGAGACCAGGAACCTGAGCAGCCTAGCAAAACAACACAAGCTTCTTTTCTGTCCAGGCTGGAAAATGGAATGCCAGTCCCTGTTTTCTGGCTGTTTGCCATAGAATAGTGATTTCCATACCAGGGTATTTTGGGGACCAGTCAAGGATCTGTAGAGCCAAAATGTTCAAAGGAAATAACAAGGGTATTAAGAGCATGAGATGTGAAGCCAGACAAGCCTTGTTTAAACCCTAGTTTTATGATCCTGGACAGGACATTCACCTCTCTGGTCAACAGGATTGTCATTTAGAGTAGGATTCCTAACTCCTACCTGATCGGTTGATACAGAGACTAGATCATATGTTCAGCTGTATCTGGAACTTAAGATCTGTACATGGTGAATACACAGAACATAATCTCTCTGTCTCTATGACAAGACCTTAGTTCTCTTCTCTTTCTAATGCCTTCGCTCACCAACAGTCCCCCCACTTTTGCTTTCCCTTTCTATATTTAATTACCACTTTTTGGTTAACACTCCACATTCCCTAGCAAGCATTAAAGGTATACATGCATTATACAACTGAAGAAATCTTTTCAAATGTATACAAACATTTTACTGGCTGGTCTCATGTTTTTGTCCGCCTTTGGAATTGTGCTGGAAATAAAATGCATGAAGTCAGTTATAACTTTCTATTGCCAGAAAGAAATTAGATTGGCGATTGTGGTTGCCAGGGGTTTGGGGATAGGGTTGGAGGGAGGAGGAATGGAGAGTGACTGCTGATGGGCATGGAATTTTTGGAGGGGTGATAAAAATGTTCTGGAATTAGGTAGTGATAATGGTGGCACAACACTGTGAATATATTAAAAACCACTGAACAGTACATTTTAAAATGGGGAGTTGTATATATGTGAATTGTATGCCAATAACAACAAATAGCTATTGCCTGGGTCAAATAGGGGAATGCCTACTTCCAAGATCAACTGTTATGCAAACATGAGACACTTACCATCATACAAGGCATAATTAGGGATTCACAAGTCATAGACAATGATGCCATGATGCCAACTGTAGACTAGGTAGAATGGACTGTGAGCATAGCACGAATTCAAGAAAAGGACCCATCAATAGAGGCTGGAGTGCATTTCCAAGAGAAGGTGAGACCTGAGCTGAGGATCAGGGAGGAATACTTGAGGAGGTGGAGTGGGAAACATTCCAAAGAAGAATCCAGGAGGGAAAGATCACAGTGATCGCTGTACTTTGTTGTTGTTGCCTTTTAATTTCATTTTCTATTACAGTGTTTTCAAGACAAGACAGGAAGACTGGTCTCCAGGGCAGAGAGCTTGGGAGAACAAATCATGGCCAGACAGAGAAGAGCAGTATTAGACTGCGTCTTGATGATCAGGCCTTGTCTCAATGTGAGAGGATGCAGGACCTCATTATCTGAGCCCCTTGAGCTGTGCCAGACAGTCATCATTCGTTCTGATGCATTTGAACACCTGCATCCTACATCAGATAACTTGATGTAAGGATAGCTTCATTGAAAAGAAAACATTTTGACTAGGCTGGACTTTGCAATTTTTTATTACAAGAGTTGTTCAAACTCTGTTTGAGGGAAATGAGATTTCTTTGTTTTAAAGAAATACAGTACTGCCAGGCACAGAGGAAATTCTTAAGCAGCCACCTTATTTTATGTGGGTGTGAAGTGAAAAACCTCTCATTTTTGTAAGCCTAGCAAAAGCAGGGTGTAGCGGGAACAAAATGAATACACACAGGGGCTTTAAACACCACTTTGAAAATCCAGGGTGGGCTTTGTTGGCTAAACCACAGCCTGTCTGGGAGGCTTCAGTAACAAGGTTGGCAAGAGGTCTTGATGTTTCTGTAAAATGCCACGGGTAGTTGTCAAGCTGCCATGCCAAGGAAGCTGGTCGAGTCCAGAGTCCCAAAGCCAGTTAGAGGTGGTTCATTCCTGGAACCTGGGGCAGATCTACCCGTGCCTCTTTGGTGGAATCAGGACACCAGTGGGTGAGCATGTCAGGAGGGCAGACAAAGTAGGAGCAACCCAGCATCTCCCTCAAACTGAGGCAGGTTATACCACTGTCCTGCTGGTGGGTGCCCAAGCCATGAGCCACCAATATGACACAGATGGGACTTATATCCCACTTTACTGGAATATTTTGTAAGCTCCCTCTGGGATAATGGAAGTCTGGGTCTATGACATTCTTTTATCTTTTGCTATTAACATTATTATTTTGTTAGCAGTGTAGCATGGTATGGCTGCTGTTTAAATATCCCTCCTCCTCTCCCCACCGCCCCCAAGAACTTGTCTGCTCTGAAAAGAAGTGGTTTGGCATAAAGTGAAAGTTTTTTAACATCCATTTTCCAGATGGAGCTCTCTGTTAAATGTTTATACACACACACACACACACACACACACACACACACACACACACAGCTAATCCATGTGGAATGCTCCTAAGTGAATATGATTGTTTACTAGACTTCTTAGTCCATCTTATGGCATTTTATAATAAAATATCAGCAAGCTCGTAAAGAGAACTTTTTTAAGGTCCATAATCTTTCTAACCATAACAAAAGGGCAGTAAATATATTGTACAAGAGCACGATGGAAAAAATGTGCTAAAGTATTTCCATAAATCAAATGTAGCACTTTGGCATTGACTCTAAAGCATTAAATTTAGTAAATTAGAACCAGATGATTTTAAAATAGAAACTTACATAACTTTACAGTGTGACTTTTTTTTTCAACATAAGTTTATCTTCATGAAGTCCCCTTGGCTGCTACTGAGTAGGTATTTAACAAGTGAGGGCAGCATCTGGGTATTATTCATCTTTGTAACTCCCATGGTGCCTAGCATTCTATTGGGCAATTAGTAAATATTGGTGGACGGATGAATGAAATCTCAGCAGCGATTAACAAGTACAAGTTAATTGGCAAGGAAATGTAATATAAATATTTATATGGATCTACAGGTAGACAAAACACTGCTACCCCACACTTAATAGTAAAAATATGTCTTGCTCTTTCTTTCATTGTCAACTATGTGTATTTAAATCAATGAATTTGAAATAAGAGGGTGTATCTGCTTCTTATTTGAGTCACCATGTCCCCAACCACTATCACTCTGGAATTTTCCTAATGTATAAGTTTCTGTTCTATTTCTGCTGTCAGAGGAGCCACAGAAAATGC